GGCCTCCCAATGCATATAAACAAATACAAACATGTTGAATTTAGAAAAACGCATTGCAGCACAGAGATAACAGGCACTGTTAGTATGGGTAAGCTAGAGACATGCATTTGCATGTGCCTTTTTACATTAAATCATTCCTGTAAGTTATGTCTTTTTTTTCATAAAATATCCTTCTATAACGCTGTTAAAAACTATTGATTGGTTTGCATGATAACTTTGTGCTATATGACTGAATTGTATTCCAGAATCCAACAGTGTAAATGGGCTTTGCTTCAAGCTTTTTGTGAGCGAAGACAAAGCTACAATTGTAAAGAGATAGGTCAGAAGGCACTGCTGTTTATTACTTGTATTTGTTCATACTGCCAAGTGTGATTTATCATGCTGGCACAAAACTGTTGTTGAATTGTTGTAATAAATGATATTTTGGCAAGCTACTGTAAGGCAATTAATTTATATAAATGCTTACTAACAATCCAACCTTTACAAAAAAAATGTTGTTTCATGGAGACATTTATACAAATCCTCCAGGGAGATATAATTTTCAATTTCAAACAGAATGATAATGCGGGTTTATGGTGTCCTGAAGGTACTTCTTGTGGATAAATAAAGGATTCCTTTTGAACCGCTTTACTTAATTTTTCCAGAGACATACTAATGATGCTGCATTCACATAAACAAAATTAATAATATGGATAAAAGTTGGATACATTATCTACTCAGGTAGTATATCTTATACCACCTGTATTTTTTAGCAAAAAAAAAAAGAAACATGTATACTATAGATAAATTAAAGGCAATTTGTTGGGGTTTTTCCCCTTCCAAGGTAACCTCAGATACCTCCATGTGACTGCTTCTTAGGTTATCTTCAGAATGTCCTAAAAAACCTGGGAGCTCTATTATGCAAAGATCAACCACAAATGTCATGATCAAGCTCTGACCCACCTTCTCCTATTTCTATTGGCCATTCAAGAATATGGCCAACTTTACTGAACAATAGGAAAGCACAGGGGTAAAGGAGGCATACAGAGCCCTACCATGGAAATTGTGCCATTTACATTATAGAGCACAAGAATTTAAGGGACTCCAAGGCAAACTGGATATTTAAGCAGGGATCCAGAGATGTCAGCTTATTGGGCATAGGGCCTCCTGAAGTTAAGAACCGCTCACAAGCTTGCTTTTAGGGTTTAGCAATATTGGCAATAGGAACTCAGATATGAACAAATTAAACTGTCGACTCCCGCGGCTGATATGAGGTCTCTTCAGTGCCAATCTGGTGCCTTTTAGAGACTTTATCATTTTACTAGTTCTATAAGATTACGGATCCTTTGGTCTTAATTTAAGAACCCTCAGAGTATACAGTAATGTTCAAATAGCTTGAGATTCAATTGAATCAGCTGCTATCTTTTATCTGAATAGGTCTTTAAAATGAATGCACAACCAATTTTAAAACACCCTCAAGCCTCAGGTGGAAAGTAGTAAGAAAAGCAATTGCTTTTCACATTAAATGTCTGTGTTATTTCTGTTTTTCATCCTTCAATAACTCTATATTAGTAAAATATGTATTGAAATGCATTATGTCTTTGTCCTATATGATTGAATTGTGCTCCAGAATGATAATTATATAATACATAAATGTAGAAATAATGTTATTTTTTGTTTCAAAGTATTTGTATTATTGTTATGACTTTATTGAACATAGCAGCGAAGGGGGTTTGGCCAAGAACCAGAATCTTTCTGACACAATTTGATATTGCAGTTATTTTCTACTGCCCTGCATATTAATTAAATAGATTTATTTATGTGACCAATTGTACTGAAAAGAATGCATCAGGTTCAATGTAAAATACACTAGTGCATAATGTATGTCTGTTCTACAATAGACAATTTTTTTACACAAATCATATAACACAGCTATTAATAAGCGAATCAGCAATCACACATTTCTTGGATTTGGCTATATTCAGGCAGAGTGGAAACTATACAGAGAACCATAAAATGTAGGTGAAAACTTGAAGAGGAAGTAAAAAAAAAAAACATTATAAAACATGGTCATAATCATAGTAATTCAAGTTAAATAAATAACATGTCCATCCAGCTTTAAAAAAAAAAAGTTTTTTAGTATCTCAGAACCCTAAATCCATAGCGGATTTAAACAATCTACCATATTTGCCGGCGTATAAGGCGACTGGGCGTATAAGACGACCCCCTAATTTTTCAGTTAAAACATAGGTTTTGGGCTATACTCGTCGTATAAGACTACACCACTTCCAAGGCAACACCATTTAAAAACATCAACAAGGGCCATTTTGTTTAAATACACCCACTAATCTGTCAGCCCGCTGGATGTGCGGTAATACCAGAGTAATATATTGTGTAGTGATGACTTCAGATAGAATCCTCTGCAATGCTACACACTGAACCCTCATAGAGTTGTATGTGGCCACCCCAGGAAGGAGCTTCACCATTTGACTTGTTTGTCCCGCTGGATGTGCGGTAATACTGTATGTACGGAAGCTTCGGCTACAGTATACCGCGCTGAGCCAATCACGGAAAGCGATGTACGCGGTATACTGTATGTAGCTTCGGCTACATACAGTATACCCCGCTGAGCCAATCACGGTGAGCGATGTATTCTATTAATGAATACAAAGCCTGCTCGGATTGGCAGAGGTTATGTACCTCGCTCGCCGTGATTGGCTCAGCACAGTATACTGTATATAGCCGAAGCTACGGTACATACAGTATTACCGCACATCCAGCGGGCTGAAAAATTAGGGACCCAGCGTATAAGACGACCCCCGATTTTCGGGGGATGTTTTTAAGTATAAAAAGTTGTCTTATACGCCGGCAAATACGGTACATGTTTTTTCTGGTTTTTACTTTATGCTCCTAAATATTAGTAGCCATTTAGTAAGCCACAGACAAGGTGATTAGTGTGCAACTTTCACAGCCACAGATGCTTTGAAAATGCATTAAAACAAACAGTTCATAGCCACTGATAACTGTAGGGAAACATTTCACTGGCTGTTATTACTAATATATGCCTACAAAATATGTGAGGCACGAGTGGGTGTGGACAATTTTTAGGCAGAGAAGGAGGCTTAAAGTGAACTTAAACTCAAAAAGTGAAGAACTGTTAGAACCTATACAAATTTTAATTGTGCCTATGCAGTACCCAGAAAAGGATTACTCTTTGTCTTGACTTTCTCCTGAAAAAAGCATGCACTCCTGTGCAAAATCCCTAACATCTGTATAGCCGCAGGGTATTATCTGGCTACTAGTCTCAGAAGATGTGGAGTGAGATCTGGTGATGCCACTGCTGCTCACTGTTCTCCTGGCTGGAGACTCTGACATAAAGAGGCAAAACATTGCCTCTACCAAGATGGCCGCCCCACACATGGACACAGTGTCGAACAAAGCATCGTAAGTCAGTAACAGGGGAAGAACCGCTGCTGGGAAACCACAGGCAATATGAGTGACTAGTCCTTTGCCTTCAGGCTGACTTTTTTTGGGCACAGCTTACAGAGTTTAGTTCCTCTTTAAAACTGCTGCAAGTATATGTGCAGGCACCGTTAGGTGACAGAGTCACTTTAAGCAGTTTATAAAGATAAAAAAACAGGTATCAGTGCAAGTATCAATGGTGTGTATCCAGAAAATATTAGCAGTCTCTGTTGTTTGTGATCCCTTTGTTTAGGAACTTTTCTCACAATAAGGATGAAAACCCTTGCCCAGGCTCTTCACACTCAAATACCCCAACAGTTTGGATTTTCTCAAACTTAAAAAACAAAAAACTCCAGTTGATTCCAATTCTCAAAGATGATTGGACTTACTTAGCACAAAGTAGCTCATGGCAAAGCACCTCTGAAAGCAGCTGTTTTTTTTAAGTCTAAGTACAGATGAACACCTATGGATTCGACACAAACTGTACCTTACTACTGTCCCTCATTTGGAGGTAATGTGCCTCCTTTGGATCAAAATCCCTCTGTTCCTCTTTCCTTCTCAGTTGTCCCTCATTTTAGTTTGATGTACAGATCTCTCTGAAAATGTACTGTTTAACTACCATAAGTGTTATTCTGCACTAAAACCTCCACCCTTTCTTTTAATTCTCTTGTTTTCTATTTCAAACACCCAGTATAAAGGAAAAATAATGGCGGCAAACCAAAATTCTGGGTTCAACCAATCATTTTTGACATATACATTCTTAATGGTCCACATAACTGGGAGCATGGTAGGGATGTGCTTATTGCCAAAATACATTGTGCTGGCAGGTGTCCCTCTTTTTAATTTGTATGTTGACAGCCTACATCATGCAGAAAAAGAAGGAGATTTTGTATTCCTGTTGAAATTCAAAATTTCTTTAAAGTATGTGTTTTTAAAAGAAGCAACAAGGTCCTTAGGATGTCCTGTCGCACCCCTTACCGCAGAACCCCTGAAGGTGGTTGCTGAAGTGACTGTGGATGGCACCGCAGGCATCAAATGTAGAACATGCGTCGTTGAAGTCACTTCAATGTGACAACATGGGTAAATAAAGTACGAACACTCGACAACATTGTCTGGTGTGCTAGTGACATTTTGTTCCTCGTATAAAAAGAAACAATTCTACTATCTGGAGATTATGACGAAGATAAACATTCTGGTATATTGATTTATTTTGTAAGGAAAATAGGAACTGCCTTGGGGACATTTTGATAATACTGAGGAACAAGTCATATTCCGGCCCTGAATTTTATAATGAAGAATTGCAGAAACTGGCTTTGAAGCTGTTATTTCTTATCAAGTAGCACTCAACATGCAGAACACTTGTTGCTGCATGTTATTGTCTTAATATAGCATGTTAAGACAATCTTTCCATATCAATAAGCTGTTGGAATAACACAACCACTGTATGTAGTACATCTGTAATACATTCCACATTTCACAAGACTGTATAATTGCATTAGGGTGGAAGCATAGTGATATCTGCATATTAGTAAGTGATTGTTCATTGGTGATTTACATACCCGCACAGCTGTTTTCTGGTTTCCAGTGAATGTTCACTCCTTCTCTTAGACATGCTCTGGCATAAGCTATTAATGATTCACAGTAGCAGTTTTTATGAACTGGGCATTCGCACATATCTGTCACACATGATCTAAAAAGACAAAGAGAAGTTAAAATCAAAATCATGTTTATCTATTATAATAACTACATTTTTTAAAAGCAGAGGCAGAATCCTTGTCAATTGTGTAAAGATGAGTGCAAATGGACAACAGCGCTTGTCAGAGTTAGACGCTTTAAGTTTCATACCACGCAGTGTTTGATAAAACACAATGATCAAGAGTCAGGTATCTGTCAGTTTGAAAGACTGCAAAAGTGCATCTCCAACACTCCAATGGATGTACACATCTGGTCTTATATAAGGATAATCTGGAAGAACTGTGAATGTATAGATTAGCAGAGGTTTCTCTCAGCTAAATTTACTACAATGACTACTGACTGACCATTTTACTCTTATAAAATCTCAATCTTAGAAAATACCATCTGCCCAAAGGGAGTATGGCAATGATAAAAGTCCCATATACAGACAGTCACCTGCTACTGATCAGAATAACTCACATCAGCTTTACCAGAAGGGGGGGGGGGGCATTTAGAAAAAATAAAACTGGATTTAAAACTGAAATGCATCTGAAAACATTGGGCAGACATAAAAAAAATACAGATTGATGTTCTAATGTATTTGTTTTACAAATCATTCAAGTGTAAATAAACCTTAACAATGAGCTTCTCTTATTTGATGCCTTTTGTCTTGCTGGAAATGTTGTGAGTTGATAACTTCCTGTGCTCTTTGCCTATGCTGACTGTTACATTGCACTCTGCGGACTACATAACCATGTCTCTCCATGTCTCATGTTACAGACAATAGGAGAGTGGAGGGGCACCATATGCCAATCTTGTTTTTGTTGTCCTGGAACAGAAAGGTTAGTGTGTGTTGTCACCCTAGGTATGGAAGTGTGTTACTGGCAGAATAACCAAGGAAAAATAAAGGAAAAGGAGCTTGAAAAAAAGAATCTATTGCAGCCACCACCTGCTTTAGTGCAGGCCAAGCTAACTGTTAGATAATACAATTTGATATTAATCTTGCATCATAGGAGAACTCTAGCTCTATTTTAAATGCAACTGAATGTGTCTTAATATCAGCCTCCTATAATGTACAGCAGCACTTAAACAGATTGGATAAGGGCCGGCACTGAGAGCCATTTTGATTCTGTGAAATGCACATATGGTGACAGTGACCATGCTGACAGGAGGACAGAGGAAAGTAAGTATTGACTAACTGGTGTTCTGCTGCTCCTTCCTAGTCCAATCAGCAGGCTGTTGGTATGTCCTTGACTGAGCTATGCTGCTGCAGTTAAGCATGAAGATCTGCTAGTACTATCTGATAGGAGTATCTGAATCTCATACGTGGATGAATAGAGTTACAAATCCTTTGGCAATAGTATAAGATAAAGAAACAAGAGAGTTCCTTGGTCTTCATGTTGCTTGCTAAGTCGTGTTGCAGACTCAGGGACCTTTCAGGTGTATTTATGCTGATATCATGTGACAGATCATGTGGCACTTTGAATACAGGTGGACCTTAATCAACCAATTACACTGGACAACAAAACTTTTGGTGGTCATGATAGACCCCTTCAATATAATTTCAGAATGACTGTATCACATGGCAATCTACAAAAATATGACATTAACGTTTAATCACTATATTGTGTTTAAGCACATAATGTTAATTTATATATAATGTATAAGTTCTGACTTAAAGTGATATTAAAACTTTAGTTTTGTTTTCTTATTTTTATCAATGAGAGACTGCATTTATGCAGAACTTTTTTTTTTTTAAACTCTTAACTTCCTTGTTTTCTAGTGTGTCCCAGCATTGCTCTTCCTCTCTGCCCCCGCATGGGTGCCTTCATCAGCTAAGCAGCTGCAGTGGAGGCACCCGTGCATGTGTGTTTTACCAGCCTGCCCACAGTCTATAGACACACACAGCCCTGTGGCAGGCCACGCCCCTCCTCTCCGCCCAACAGTTTGACTGACGGCAGAATGGGGGGGGGGGGAGAAAAAAGGTACTTGCTGTTTTTTTTTACTTAATGCAGGGAATGCAATATAGTAAAAAACGCCCAGCCTTTACTAATACTTTGAGAGTATATGCGGATCAAATGTAGCAGAATGTGTCACAACTGTTTTCTCATTGGCAAGACATTTCTCATGTCACCGAATCGTACTACAACAACTACAACAGCAAGTCTCTAACTTGCTGCCACGGCTGCATTCAATGACAGCCCAGCTTCCTCAAAGGACAATGGACTGTCATTACATGACAACTGGGTGAGACCGGCTGTGATGTCACAACTGGCTCCACACATTTGTTGTCCTTCAATGACAGGTTATTTGAGGACACTGGGCTGTCATTAAATGACAGCAACTGGGTGGAGCATACCATGACGTCACGGCCGGCTCCGCCCAGTTGTTGTTATTTGTCCTTGACCTGCAAAAAGACTCTTGTAGGTGACGGCCAAATGTAAACAGTTGGGCGGAGATAGTGGTGATTTTACCCCTAGCTCCGCCCAATTGTTTATATTTTGCCGTCATCTGTCAGATTCTTCATTCTGCGGTGGGAGTTCATCGCGTGCGATCGGGTATTTTTTTATTTTGATGAGTCGTCGTCGTTGACAATGCTGGACGTACTTAGAATTACGTCGTGGGATCAATTTTTGGGATTTTTTTTACAATAAAGGACTTTTTTTTCAATTAAAGGATTTCTTCAAAAGGTCTGGCCTTTTTATTTCTATTTTATTTAACCCTTTAGTGAATGGGTAGGGGCACAAGTATCCCTTACTCATTCACAAGGGGGGGCTGCATCTTGTAGCGCCTTTATTAAAGGGGTACCCCAATGCAAATAAGCCCCCTGCTCGCAGACCTCCATAACCAACGCCCCAGGGTGTGTGGGGAAGATGCCCTTGTCCCCATCGGCACTGGAAAAGGTGTTTTTCCAGTGAGGACCCTGCAAAAGAACCCTCCCAGTGCCAAGGGCATGTGGCCTGGTATGGCTCACTTGCCCCCCCCCCCTTTCCTGCCCTGCCAGGCCTGTGCTCGGATCAAGGGTCTTGTTAGGAATTTTAGGGGGAACCCACATTTTTTTCCCCATTTTTGGGGCTGAGGTTTCTCCTTAAAATTCCTACCAGATCTAAAGGGTCTGTTATGGTTTTGGAGGGGGACCCCACACTGTTTTGTTTTTTCTCTTTTCTTTACATTTTTTTATTATTTTCTTAACTGTTTCACTTTTTCTTTTTTTACATTTATTTAAATCATTTTTTTACATTTTTTTTCTTTTGTTTATTTTTCTATTCTGCTCACTACCTTGGAGGTAGCTAGCAGAATAGCCAAGCCGAATGCCACTCGGGGGCATTTGGTATTCACTCACTGCCGTTCGCCCGCTATGAGAATGGGGCGAACGGGAGCGAGTGAACTGCCAGAGCTTCGGCTCAGCCGATCCAGATGTTGGATTGGCTGAATTGAACGGCTTTTGCACTTTGGCTCAGCCGAACATGCACAGCATGTTTGGCTGACCAAAGCCAGTGGAAGGCAGCCGATTTCCGATGTCCGACTGAAATCAGCCATACAGAACCGAAGTGAATAGCCGAACGCTGTTCGGCTCAGTTCACTTCGGCTCGGTTATTCACTCAGCTGCCCTCAGCAGCTGAGTGAATAACCCTCTTAGATTCACAACTTGTTCTCAGACTCACTCATTTCACAATGACAGCCAGCTGTTGCTGAATGAAAACCCCAAGGACATTATTGGCCATTTGAAATCAATTTACAGCAATCTGTAAATGTCAGTAGTATTACACTCATTGCAGGCCTGGTTGCTTAAGAGAAATCCATGTGATACTATAATTCATGTAATAACAATATGTTGCTACGGATGTGATCCCAGTAGGTCATGAATAGCAGAAATATCAGCAATTATCTAAATAAAGTAATTCTATGTAATTATAACCAATTTAACATTACCAGAATATCTATAGTATATGTACATTTGTATAGAACACCTGGGATTATCTTGGAGAAATAACATGTCATATATTAAAAAAGCTATTCACGTATGTCACATTCTAGCTATTAAATGAAGAAAAACAGTTATAACAATTGTCCCATAATGTAATACAGAGGAACATCATTTTTAAACTAAAACTCAAGGCAAACACTGCAAACTAAAATGCTACCATGATCCCACAAGTTTTTGCACTCTCTCCCTGGGCGGCCTTTTTAATAAAGTTACTAGCTGCTTCATTTTCTGCAAGATGGTATTCTTCCTGCGCTTTTATCCAATCAATACATCCTGTTGGTTGATTGACAGCTGCTCTAGGCATTTAACAGCTGAGACTGGACCGTCTTGAAAACGCAACTGCCCCTTTTTTTGGATGGCTTGACCAGTTACAGTTAGTGGAAACATAATAAGGGGAATTTATCAAAACTGGAGTAGACAAAACCTGGAGCAACCAATCAGCTTCTCTTTTCAGTTTGTTCACTTAAGATTTGAAAATGGAAGAGAGAAGCTGATTGGTTGCCATGAACAGCTGCTCCAGATTTTGCCTGCTCCAGTTTTGATCAATTCCCATCAATTTATATACTCGGAAGTAATACAACTATGCTACAAGGAAGACTCTGCATAACAAACAGTGCTGTTTTAATGCTAATGACAGACTGTGTCATAGATGTCATGTTTTCCTGATTTTGCCTATGGTTACACTTTAAATACACAGTAAGTACATATGTGGGAACTACTTTAGCAGTCCTGAGATTTAGGCTCCATTCACATATATCGTTTGCATTTACCCCGAGGCACGAAAACGCTAACATCTTTAATCTGCAAGGATTCTGCTCATTTGCAGCTATTATTGTAGCTACAAACTTGCGGAATCTGCCAAAAAATCGTGCGTGTACTTTTTTGCAAGCCGCAAAAGTCTGAACAATGTACAATAAAGTGCATTTTGTTTTATGTTTAGAGCGGTTCTGCGCGTATTCTGCCAAACGAACAACCGCTCCTGTGTGAATGGAGCCTTGAGGCGCCCATACACCTTACAATTACCATTT